GCGGGTTTGTCAAATAGCCGAGTTGAATTTAGCTTGTTGACTCTGCTTTCTTGTCGGTGAAGGAGGTGGCTTGTCGAATGGGATCTGGTTTATTGAGTTGGGCGCTGCGCTGAGCCATTGTGGCTTTACCGACAGGCCGCCGCTGCATGCAAATGGTGCCGAGCGCAGGTCGATCTCCGCCGGGTGCCGACGGAACGACTAGCGAATGGCTGTCCGTGGATGGATGTGGTCACTGGAAGGGATAGATGTCACTTTGGTGGATAGATGTGGCCGGTAAGGGACTGGTTACTTAGTCTGGACAGGACTGGTCAGAGGACTGTGACCACTTGGTCGGCTGAGGGCTGCGGTCCCCTGAACGGCAGAGTGTCAGAGGATCGCTGGCATTCGGTCAGTAGATGACTATAATATCCTCGTTAACAGTTGGTCAGTTGTTAAGACGGTTGTAGTCGTTTAGTCTCAGGTGTTAACTGTGTGAATTTCGGGTGAACTTGGCGGCTTTACGACTACGTGCTTTCAGCCTTTTGTTGCCATTTGAACATGGGCGAAGGTTCAGGTATCTACTTTTGAAAAACAGCATTGGCTGAAAGACGAGTGACCCATTCACATTGGCTTATGATCCCGTTTCCGCACGTTTTTGCTACTCGGTACAGTGCAGGCATACGGAAATTTGTCCTCAAGCCGGCACCGAGCTTGAATAGTCACAACGAACACAAAGAAATCCAAAAACTCGAAACAGGTGGTTTGTGTGCCGCTATCGAGCCGCAGCAGCACTTTTCACGGTCGCCCGGGCACGGAGCGGCCCGCACGCCAGCCGCTCCAGCCCGCTAATGATTCTCAGGACGAGGGTTCGGACACGCAACCATCGCAGCGCGCGCGTCCCGGGCCAACGCCGAGCGAGCGGGCCACTCACGGCCAGCTTGGACCCGCCCGAGCGACGGCCAGAGGGAGCTGGAAAACCGACTAGAAAGCTTTGTCAAGGGCCCTCGTCCCTACGTGGCTTGAAAAAAAAAAACGGCACGGATCCTTTGATGGGACTGCAGGGTTTTCTCAAGCCTGGATTCCTCTTGCCCTGCCTAGGGCAACTTTATGGAGGTATAAGAGGAGCATTTTTGACATTGGTTTTCTAGTTTAGGTTGTTTTCCTACCGGATTGTTCTGAGGGAGCACCTGATGCTGACGTAAGGCCCGCGGGCTTTAATTTTGCATCTCTGCTTTCAAGCCTGTGGCCAATTCACATAGTCAATTCAGGTATATGGTCGCCGAGCTTTAAAATTGTATGAATCCTATCTCCCTTATCCATGGCTATACGAGACTATGGTAAATCTGAAACCGTTGATGATGTCAAGGCATTTCAGCAATGTGCATAGCCAAGGCCACTACCACCGATTTCAGCCATCATCTGACCTGACATGACTGTAAGGCAGGGCGTGCTGCCAGCGGCACAGCCTTGCACGATCTGCATCCTCTGCTGGTATAAATAGTGGAGCCGAGCCATGTGCGCAGGGCAGCGAACCGCTCTGAGCTACGGCCCGTATATGAGGCACTTCTGGTTGATGCCCCGGGGCAATGCGCCTCCGCGCCGGGCGGTTGCGCTATGCAGCCAGCTAAATCGCCTTTTGCCCTGTGGTTATGTCCAATTAAGCTGTCGCGATCAAGAAGTATTTATTTGCCCTCTGTTGGCCCAACAGACAGACCCTTGCGGATTTTATTACCGTTTAAGTAAGGCCCTGGTCCGGAAAATTGCAGTGAGCAAAATTGATAGATGACCGGTCGTGATGACGATGACGTCACCATCAGGGCCGCGCCGGCGGGCTCGTTTGTTGACTGGTAGCGCCCGCGCCCGGGCCGCTCGTCCAGCGCAGCTTTTTGTATTACACGAGGGAGCTGGGAAACAAACGCTGAACAGCCTCAACGCCAGGTGTAGGTTCGTGGAATTGAAACAAGAATCTACCAATTTGGCGGTGCCTGTGAGTTCAAACAAGTACCCTAATTTTCGGGCAGTTGGTAAACATTTGTGCAGTTAGATTGAAGAAATGCTTGTTCCACTTTGTAAATCAAAAAGAAAATGGTTGACATTATGTTTGCCGTTTCTGACAACTGCCTTAGCTACCCTCTCGGTTTCGTTTTCATAAACAGACCACCTTTTCTCGCTGTTACAGCAGCCAATATCTCAAGGAAGCAATATGGGTGGGTCGATGGAGTTCCGCTTTGGTATGCATCTCAGAGCCAATAACACCCATGTTTACACAAATCGGTAGAGGCTTGAGTGCGCACGGCCCGCGTATGTCCACTTACGGGCCTCACGAGTTAGCACCATCGGTTATACGAGTGCACGTGCAGGGCTGCAGAGACGTGTCCGTGAGTTGTTGAAGACGCGTGTCTAGTAAGTTCCCACTCGCAGACCGAATTTGGACAAAATCGGCTGACCGGTTCCCAACAAAAGAACTTGAGGCTCGCACGTGCAACATGAGGAGGCTCATAAGCTCTAAATTTCTAACAATGTAGCTTCCAGAGTGATTTGTTGGGCGGGGGTCTATATGCGGTCATTCCTTCGTCGGTAATACCCCACAAACTCAGATGGGCGTGGGAATCGCTAGCTGTTCTTCAGATAAATGGACAATAAGAGTCTCAATAAAAAGGGCTGGTGATATCACACGACCTTATATGTATGCATTAAAGGTGATCGTTGACCAATGCACTTGGCTACTCATTATTTACATAACAGTAGTTGACAGTTGACACCCATATCCGCCGCACTTACTTTTTGCCCAACCTTTCGAAATACGGGTCTGGAGATATTCCGACCCGACTCGTATTGGTAGTTGTTTCTAAAACGCGTTTGTCTTCCCCTGTCACTGTTTCTAAAGCCCACTCGTAACCTCACAGATGTAGGTTTATTCGTGTTTGCCGTGTGCCTTTCTGTGTATACCCGACTGGTATCGACCCACAGCGACCCAAAGGTCGCCCCGGCGCAGTGCTCGTCCCCGGGTGCTCTCACAGGTGCCGTAAACACCGTTAGCTGACGTCCCCGACCGGGCTGCCACGGCGCCCCCGCTCTCCGCCGGTAATTGGACTGGATGTGTTTGCGTTTCACTCACCTGCCGGCTGCCGGGCACGACTTCGATCCCATCTCTAACGGTGGCAGCTGCGGTTCGATGTGCTGCAGGCGCCTCCCGTCCATTTGTGTGTACCCTGGAAGGCGCACGTGTTCTGTTCCCGCGGTGATCGTAGGGCCGGGGTCTGTCGCTGACGGAGAGCTGGCTGCCTCTGCGGCCTCCATTATCGCTTTGTGGGCGGCCGGCGGCGATCGCCGTCGGCGCCTTTGTAGTCGCTCCCGGGGGACCGGTGTGCCGGCCGGGGCGCGCTATTGCCGCCGGCTGGAGCTGACAGTGCCCTGCCGGACCGCCGGGCGCCGCGCCGCGCTGACAGCTCCATTGGGAGCGACCCCAGCGGCACGGCGCGCTCAGACAGACGCGGATGTGGCTGCCGCGCGTGGCGAGCGACGAGCAAACATGGGTGGAACCCGAGCGGAGCCGGAAAACCGGCCGGGAGTGGCCCGGCTGCCGGCCGACGGGATTGGACGAGTTCATCGCGGCCGACCGACGAATTTGCAGCGGTCCTCTGGGAGCGACCGGCGGCGGGCCGCTGCCGCCGCGGATGGCAGGGCCGCTGATGGCCTGCCGGCCGCTTCGACACCGGTCCTATGGGAGGGAGCAGCGGGTCGCCGCCGCCGCCGGATGGAGAGACCTGATAAATGGGACGGGCTGCGTCAGATGGGTGGTGCGCGCTGTGGAACCTGCCGCGCCGCCTTAGTGCTCTAATGGCGGCCGCGCGGCGGGGATCGCTCGGATATAGCCGGGCTGCCGCCGTCACAGCCGAGAGCGGTGGTGCCGCCATACTGCCACTGCCGCGCGCCGGGCGACGATGTGTCTGATGACCTCCGGGACTGGGACACATCTAATGATCGTCGGCACACGCCATGCAACCCAAAAATACGTGCCTAATGATATCTGGGCATTTTACCATGAATTATTAATGAGACGAAGCCCAAAAAAGCGCCAACATGTCTCGATTTGCGCCTATATCAGATTGTTCGCGCTGTCGTGACACTCTGATAGCAACGCTGACTAAAAATACGTGCAAAATGGTATGTTCTCTTTATTAGTTTGGAGCACGAATTTGGACATATGATGACTTCTTCATACCGCAGCACTAATAGTTGCGCTCGAAAACATTGTTTCTTGCCATTTATGTAACAAATTATGCAACAAATGGTTTAGGAAACTTTCCTGCTTGTGAGGTGAGATACTGGTTGACATTTTTGCTGACGATATTAGTCACAAATAAGCATGTCGCATTCATATAGTGTTCTAGAAAACTAAGCTGTTTTTCGCTTAGGCACGAATATGTCGCGTGCGGGACACATTTGAAAGTTTCCTAGCCTTGTCTTGCTCTCTAGAGGTGTATAACTGGCGGGGTCCAGCACTGCACGCCACCTGGTTCGGCCCGTCTCGCAAATCCCGGCAGTGGAAGCCATCGGTAACTCTGGGAACCCGAGCCTTATGGCCGGGCCGAGACTAGCTAATGTACCGGAGACGTGCCGCCCCGCTGTGCTCGGCACAGCAGTATCGACAGAAGCCTCAGACGGAGCGCAATCCCTTTCCGTCGCCAATTTTATTATGAAAGGAATGGCGATGTCGTTTGAAAAATACACGACTGCACAGTTTGCTGATCTGTGAAACTTTCAGCAAAGTTTCGTGCTACGAAGAAGCGTGGCGTATGACAGTTTCCTTTATTAATTTGATCTGACTTTTCAGTGAACGATGATGGGATCTCTTCGCGACGATTTCATGCATAGCTGAGTTGAGTCGTTTCTAATCTACCACCTGCGGGTCTTTGTGCTTTGTGGCAGTGTGTTTCTATTTGTAATCATTTCCCCCCTCCCCCCCCCCCTGTGTGTGATGTTCTGCATTGTCACCGTGCGTTTCTATCTTCCTTTAGGTATCACACGGCTTCCGATCATCGAGGGAGAGATCAGTCACATAGAGATCCCGCGCACTGCCACCAACCTGGGAATGACGATCGTCGGGGGAGCCGACACACCGCTGGTCAGTAACATATGTAATACACAGTGTCTAACAGCCACTTCACAACCACTGGTGTCTCATTGCCAAGCCCGGGCTGTTTTTCTTTGATAGTGTCCCGCCGCCAACCGTCAAGTGGGTGTTCGCCGACTAATGAATCGAATCCGAACCAAGTCATCTGCTCATCTTTCAGCCAAAGGCATCCATGCCCGTTGGTTATTTGCCCCAGGTGGCGCGGAGGTACGGTAGCTGACCGGGTCCTGCCCCCGTTCCAGCGCTGTATGGTAGTGTATCCCCGTGTACCCCGTGCCCCGAGGTGGCCGCGCGGTAGCTAACTGTACTCTGACCCCCGTTCCAGCGCTGTGTGGTGATCCAAGAGGTGTTCAACGACAGCCTGGTGGCGCAGGACGGCCGACTCCAGGCCGGCGATCAGATCGTGGAGGTCAACGGCGTCGACATGACCAACGCCTCACACAAAATGGTACGCGCCGCTGCAGGTGCCGGGGGTGATAACGATCTGATTGGGGACGGTAACGCTACCAGAACACCACCTGGCTGTGGGCCTGGAACCTAGTGGAGCTGTAACATAGCCATCGTATCAGCATGCCGGTAAATTTTGGCCGGCACCCCCACGTATGCGGTACAGGCAGGGTTTAATCCGGTATTATACCCGTGATCGTGATTTCAATCGGATAGAACAAGCGGATCTCGGTATTAGGACGGTACTGAGCCCTGAGCCGCCTTCAATGCCGCCTAAAATGGACTGTTGGCAATGATGTGGTGCAGACTATTAGTATTTTTAACTAGTGCGCCTATTCTAGGAATAGCGGAAAGGACAAAATGTATGACAGAAAACAGTATATTGACGTTTATGGCCGCATTAGGGCAGAGCGCTCACTTAAAATCAAGCATATTCTCACTAACCCGGAAGACATTTCAAGGTCTACTTATTGCTGTTTGCCATGTAAGCTTGCCTAGCTTCCGAGCTACATCGATATTTGCCGAAAGCTTGTGTTTCGATTACCTACATTGGCTTCATTTTGGCGCATTACACTAGCAAGAAGTCTCGACTACTTTGGCGATTGTTTTCAGAGAACTTTTAAACAACTTTTGTTTTTCCTGCGTGACCAAAAAGCTGATGTAGGCGGGAAAGGAAGCGATATACCGTCCAAACGGGCGTAAAATTAGGAGGCCTGGATCCTGTTAGGTTTCTTTGGTTGAAACTTGTTTCACTCCTAGAAAATGCGATGCAATTGTGATAGCGCTGCGCTGTCTATCGCATTACGGCGCGCAAAAGCCGCCTGTTTCAGAGCGCGCTCGAATAATGATGGCGATACTTACCGAATGCCCCTATATCGAAATAAATTGCCGCCTGTTTGTTTTGTTTCCCTCTGTCTGACCTTGTGTTTGTCCGTTTCAGATCTGCCAGGCGCTGAAGGTGCAGACTCCGGTGCTGCAGCTGGGTGTATACCGGGAGAAGATTGACCCGCCGCCTCCATCAGACGGTAGGTCACGACCCGTCACAGCGGTCACGGGGGGAGGCATTGTAGGCTCTAATGGCTTTGTCACGGGGACCGGCGGAATGTATGTACTTTGGTCTTATCTGATCACGGGGCTGATCAGAGGCGATGGGTGACTGACGCCACTGATCGGAGACCATTGGATTACTGGTCGCACATTACGCTTGTCAATTTAACTTGTACAAGGTGGGGCAATTGGCATTCATTTTATGCATTTACTATTCTGTCATGACCAGTACGAGCCAAACACAGTATGGCAGTAAACGTAAATCAGCTGTGCATCGCCACCGACTCGATCGCCCAATATTCCGCCGCTGTGCAGCCGGGTCGCAGTACCGTCGTTTGTCCACGGGCCGCTGTGGCACGGCCCATGTCTGGGGCCGTGTCACCTCCCCCGGGTCGCAGCAGATTGGACGAGTGCATTAGTTGGGACCTCCCGCCAGCTGCGCCCTGCCCTCTGTTTGGACGAGTGCATTAGGTGCGGCTTCGGTGCAGCTGTGCCCTGCACTGTTTTTCACTATTCTGTTTTTTCTTTCTCTCTTCCTTTCTCATTCCAGCACCCTGTTCCGGCTCTCTCCCTCTCCATCTCCCTCTCTCTCTCTCCCTCCCTCCCTCCCTCCCTCCCTCCCTCCCTCCCTCCCTCTCCCTCTCTCTCTCTCTCTCTCTCTCTCTCTCTCTCTCTCTCTCTCTCTCTCTCTCTCTCTCTCTCTCTCTCTCTTCCTCTCATTTGCTGTCTCGTTGCTCACCTCGCTCACTCCTCCGTTTTTTCTTTCCTCACTTCTCTCTCCTGGACTCATATCACCCACCCAATCTCACTTTCCTTTCCCATCTACCCCGCTTTCCACCTCACTGATACCGCGCTCAGACATTCTAATTATATGGCGTCCCCGGCCTCCCCCGGTCGCCACCGCGACTCCGATCTTTACGAACTGCTGATGCCGGCTCTCGGCGCGTAGCTGACGCAGCCACTTGGAAAGGCCTCCTGGGGGAACGGTTCGCTGTCAGTAGGTCTTAGTGGTTATCTCCATCTCGGCCCCCGCCGCGGCCTTTCTCGGTGGACCGCGCCGAGATGATATTAGAGTGCGGCTTCAACCCGGCACTGGGGAATGGTTCAGCGAGAATCAGTGTAGAGTGTGAATTATGGATGAATCTCTCAGTTCTTGATGGCGGTATTATTCCAGAGATGAGTGTATTGTATCGGTCTGAGACGTGTTTAAGTGCGTGTCGGTATATGAGAGTCCGCCTTCCCCTGCCGCCGTCAGACCCAGAGTCGTGTGTAAGTGTGCGTTTTGTTGATGAGGTCCCGTCTCCGCCAGCCTCTGCACTTCCGCAGACACTGGTCCGTGTGTAAGTGTGCGTTTTGGTGATGAGGTCCTGTCTCCGCCAGCCTCGGCAGACACTGGTCCGTGTGTAAGTGTATGTTTTTATGTTTTGGTATGTCAAATTTGCGCTGGCCGCCCGCAGACCCTGATTCGTGTGTAAGTGTTTGCTTCGGTATATGAAAGCCTCGCCCTCCGACCCACGCAGACTCACATTAGTGTTCTAAGTATGCGTTTCGGCGGATGAGATCCCGATCCCCCCCCCCCCCTCCCCCGGCCCTTACTGACCTGAAGTGGTGTGTAAGTGTGTGTATTTGGTTACAAGACAACGTCCATTTGTCGGCGGCTTCCACAGACCTGCAGTAGTGTAAAAGTGTTTGTTTCGGTAAATGAGAACCCTGCCCTCCCCGGTGCCCGCAGACCCGGAGCTTCACACGGTCACCCTGGAGAAGATGCCCGGTCAGACGCTCGGCATCAAGCTCGTATCTCGCCGCTGCGGCTCGGCCGGTGACGGGGTGTACGTGGCTGAGGTGATCAGCGGCTCGGCGGCCTCTCAGGACAGTCGACTGCGGCGGGACGACCGCATCCTCTACATCAACGGCAGGGACGTGCGGCACGGCCGGCTCCAGCTCGCCTGCGAACTCATACAGGTGAGGACGGACTGGGAGAAGACGGACAGAGGCAGACTGAAACGAGACAAGGCAGATATTGTCTGAACTGGCAAGGGACAGCTATGGACGGGGCTTATGGTGTTCAAGGACTAGACTCGCGAGTTTTAGAGACAAGCAAAATGGTGCGGATACCCCGTCCTTCGGTCTCATTTTATCGCAGGTCAAGCGGTCTAATAGCTGTCGCCGATTAGCATCCGGTATCCATCCAAAGCTCTGGTCTGTATGGTATCATGCCTTTCGGTGCCGAAAAGCGAAACTATTCCTCAAGATATGTCTGATAGCAGATACATGAGCACAGAACGAAATAAGCCGCAGCTAATACAACATAAACCTAGTGTTCAACTATAACTGGCAATAACGGAACGAATTTTACCAGTTGAAGGTACTGTTATCAAACTCCTTTGTCGATTTTTCTCATAGTTGAAAGGGGAATTAACCGGAAATGAAAAACAAAATACATGAAGAATGCAACATGCTCACTAGGAATCTAGCCAGATCGGCTTCACGATCTAACGCTTGAACCTGCGATCTAAGTGATGGTGTGACGGTGTCGTTAACTCGTAGTTAGTGGGAACCTCACATATTTCAGACACGAGATTGCGCGCTTAGGGGAGTCTGAAAATGTTCGGCTGAAAGGAAACGCATGCAACGAGCTGGGAAGCCATCGAACGGCACATTAGTTGCTATGTCTCGAAACGCAATTAAAAACGTATTGCGTCATCTCTGGAGATACCTACTCGGGTCGTTATGGTTCTCAGCCTGGTTTTATTTGACTTTTTGCTCCTTATTGCGCCAGATCTTTACAGTCATTGCGTCTGCGATATCATCGTCAGCAGAACATCCGTGATATCCAGCATCTGTGGTACTCGCTGCTTCATCAAACAGAAAAACTATGCTTGTCTTGTTTGACCCCGCCGCATGGATTTTCAAGTCTTGGATATATTTACGTCTGCTGAGCTTGCTATCCGGATTCCGGCCTCACCTCGGTTATCCGATTATACTGAGCTGCACCCACTCCCTCCTTCCCTCCCTCCTTCCTCCCCCCCCCCCCCCCCCTAAGTAACGCCCGTGTGTGACGCCCCCGTCCGTGTCCGTCTCCCCAGAGCAACTCCACCGTCAGTCTGGTGGTGTCGCGGCCCTCACCGGCGCGCGGCCCGTCCGACGACGTGCCCGACGGCCTGTTCCGGCGCGCCGGGCCCGGCCTGGCCGTCTCGCACGCGCGCACCAAGTCTGCCCCGGAGCGGCTGTCGCAGAGCGGCGGCGGCTCGGTGGCGGTGCCGGCGGCGCCTGACGAGCCGTCTGGGACAGACGAACCAGACCGGGCGGCCATCTCTCGGCAGGCGCGCGGCGAGAGCATGGACCACCTGTCGGCGCCGGACCCGCCGTCCGTGGCGCCGCCGCCGCTGCCCGCCAAACCGGGCGACCCCCGCCGGCGCAGCAAGGAGGCGCGACGCAGCCTGCGCATCGAGGGAGATGTGCTCCAGCAGAAAACCGTCACCATTGCCAAGGTAAGGCGATCGGGTCCGAAGGACCTTCTGGCATCTGCGGCGATAGTATGTGGAACATAATGGTTATCGGCATGATCACCTTCCCCAGGCTCGTAAAATAAAGTGTGTAATAAGCGATAAGCTTTCTGTTGAAAAAGGACACTCTTTGAGAGAACTCGGTTAAATGGCTTACGATAGCAGAAAGAAGTCCCTTAGCGATGTAAACTATTCGGAATCGGGCTCAGCAGGGTTCATTACGTTTCGAAGTCCAATGTAAAATTCTGGAGACGTTTCGATTCTGATATCCATTCCCGATAAAACGGAAGCAATGCTCGGAATCGAGATCGATTCCGGCGAATCAGCGCCGGCCGAAGAAGGAGCAGCCCGCAATGAGGCGGTTGGGACGGCCGAACTTGGGATTATGGCGCTGCTCAGTATTCATGGCCGGAAATTGTGCGGTGGGTTCGGTCGGGACGCCGGGGGACGCCGCCAGGACCGGTTGGACTGAGTGCAGCCGGTTAAGTACTAAATGGAATGTCAGCCGTGATCAGATGCCCAGATGTTGTCCGTGTATTTCTTTTAGATTCGAAATGTATTTATCTATGTCGCTCATAACTATTTTGTTTCGGTACCAGCGATTCCGTGGTGTCGTATTTCGGTTATTACTAGCATATTTTCTGCAGAATATAGTTGGGAGTTGTGTGCAGAAAGCAGCTGAAGCAGTTCCCATCTTTTTGTTCATTATTTCAGTCTTCATTTCCCAACTTGAAATGTTTCTTTTCATATTTTCATATTTGGAAAGCTTCAGACCGGTCAGGGTTCCCGCTTTACCCGTGAAACCGGATAAAGCGGAAAGCCTGTGGCAATCAAAGCCCTCTTCGTTCACCTCTCTTCACGCTCCCCCTCCCCTCTCTCCCATCTCTCCTTTCAGGTGGCCAAGGAGAGCCTGGGCCTGCGGATCGGCGGCGGCATCCACTGCATTGAGGGCGACACGCCCATCTACATCGCCAATATCAACCACCAGGGACCGGTCGGCAAATCAAAACAGATTAAGGTAAGTAGCGGACAAATCGGCAGGAACGGAACAGTGGGGAATATATTATCGTGGGGAGTTTTATCGGTCGGATTTGAGGCCGCATGTGTGTATCACCACGATGTGGTGTGTTTCTTTTATTTGTATATTTGCCAGTGCTCTAGGCTTTGCTGAGTGGTTAATTTGCCTGTGGGCTGTGTTGTTTTGGCCTTTGGGACGCTTCAGGTTTAGTTAAATACTTAATCTATTGTTTGCCGGTTGAGTGCCGAAACTGGGAACTAAATCTAAATTGCAATCAAGTTGAGAAGCGCTTTATTCAGCCACATGTTTGACATGTTGACATGTAACTGGGTTGGTGATTAAATTGAGAGCTCAACACTCGGCAAGGCTCGAGACAAATGACCTCAGATTGTTAAAGTTAATATGAATCCTCCTACTCGCTTGTATGGCGTGTGTGTCCGCCTGCGCACCCTGAGCTCGGTCTAAGCTCTCCTCGGGAACCGGTGTGCAATGTGCGAGGATCGGAATTCGGAAGGACGGGACAATAACTTTCCCTCCGCCACTGTGTGCAACTTATGTCAGCCTCGTTATTGTGTTTGATTATTTGAACTCTAACTTGTTTTCATTGTCACTCCTGTCGTGAGAAGCCTTTATGTTGCTTGGCGTGTACAGTGTATGTACACTATCGCCACATAAATTTATTTACTGCATTGCTAAAGCTGTATAAACGCGGAACACGCTGCCACCATGGTGTGAATTCGTGAAAAAATGACGGCAGTTCCATCTCTTACAAGTCGTATGCCTAATTAGCTCGCTCGGATCAATCATCTTGTTCTTGGATAAATTGGCAACATTCGTCAGCGTACATTTGAATAGATTGAAGTCATCCGTCATTCCGACAGTTTCCCGAAATCAGAGACTAATTCCTAGTCCATTGTTGAATTCGTCACAAGGGAGCTGCGTGAAAGGAATACGAACTAAATTGAAAATTGCTATGAGTTTATCTGATGTTCAGTTATTTGCATTCACGGCGCATCCATATCAGTGCCAGTATGTCGGGCGATGCCATCTTTTTTTGCCAAATACGTGTGCTGCAGCTCTCATGGCGCGCCCTCGTGCTCGCGCCCCTTGTTATAAACCGGCACGAAGTCCGTAATGGCTGTAAATGTCAGCCCATCAAGATTCTGCGGGATTGTGAAACCCCGGCCCCAGACTCTAGGCTCTCGCTGGATATTCTATGATTAGATCTGCGAAGCGCCCCGAATTTGCAGCGCTATTATAGTAGTTATTTTAGTAGGTAGGCACTACTGCCATAAGGCTCCGTCGATCCATGGTAGGTAAATTTGACGCCGTTTTTCAATGCACTTCATTTGTCCCTGTATCTCCCCCTGTGGTGCTCTCCGCTGCGGGCCGCTCTGACGCCCCACTCCACCCTGTGTACCCCGCAGAAGGGGGACATCCTGCTATCGGTGAACGGTCGCAGTCTGGTCGGTCTGACGCACGCGCAGGCGGTGGCCGCGCTCAAATCCACTGCCGAGCTTCCCGGCGTGACGCTCAGCGTGCTGGAGGGACCCGAGACGTCGCGGGGACCGGCCAAATTCATCCCCAGCTGGACCTATTGGCAGACCCTGCCCAGGTGAGATTGTTAGGGACATGCGGCGCCGAGCGAGTCAGTCAGGTTCGCGGCCGGGCCAGGGCCTTCGTGGGACGCGCCGTAGTGGCCCCCGACGTTCCCTACATTGTGTGGGACGTCGTGTGGTGCCCCGTGTTTACTATGGGAGGGAGTTTGGTTCGTTTGTTCGCTGTCGCTGGCCATTCGGCCGATGTTTGCTCCGTTTCTACTGTCGTCTCCTCTGTTTACTCCCCAGAGTGGCTCCGACTGGACCACTCTGTGTGTTCTGTGTGCTCCTGACCGTGTTACTTGTGTGCTCCAGGTGCCTGTGCTACCCGCGCGGTATAGATCTCTCGCGCAGCGCCACGGGCTCGCTCGGCTTCAGTATTGTCGGCGGCTGCGACGGCGGCACGCGGGACCCCATCCACGTGCTGTTCGTCGTCCAGAACTCCCCGGCCGCCGTAGAAGGGAAGCTGCGCTGCGGTGACCGTCTACTGGCGGTGGACGGCCACACGCTGGAGGGAGTCCGGCACGCCGAGGCAGTCAGCCTCCTGAAGCAGGCACGCAATAAGGTCAAACTGCAGATCGTCTCCTGGATGGGCACAGAGGTGTGAGGTCGCGCACTGCCCGAATCTCTTCCCCCTGGCGCCTGACTCGCCGGGCCTGTGTTGTGACGCTGGTTAGTGAATCTTACATACGGTACTTTCATATCTTGGATCTACTTTCGTACGGTGAACCGGCTTATTGGCGTATGTTCACTATTTTAATGATGTGGTTTCAACATATCTCTCAGCTGTTGGATTGATTGCGGCTGTTCTTTCGCCGATGATGGTGCGAAGTGTGTGATGGTTGTAGCGGTGTGATTGCCGCCGTGTGCGGGCAGCTAGGGGCGCCCGTTGTGTGGGTGCAGTGTGCGGCCGGTCGGACGGCTACGCTCGGGGTATCCATGGCGCGGGTGGACTGTGTGCCGCGAGGGCTGGCTGCGGCTGTGTGGGGCGAACGTGTGGTCTCTCGGGGGGTGCCGCGAGGTCGGCGCCGCGCGCGGACGGGCTGGTGGCCCGCCCGCTCAGTGATGCGTGGTGTGGGTGGTTTTCTGGCGCTGCTCTGGCCAATGTAGACGGTCGCCCGGATGCCTCGAATAAACATGCTCATTACTCGGATACACGAGTGTTTGTGTGCAGTGGTGGAGTGCTAGACTGTCGGGCAGCGGACGAGATCGGATGAACGTAGTTAGCGGAGATTCGGGGATTTCGAATGCTGCATCATCCCACGACACACAGGCACTGCGATGGTTCCATCCGAGACTGGTTTGCACGATATCTCGCTTCTTTGGATTGCTGCTGTCCATTTTTACTTTGATATTGCCAATAATCGGTCTCAACCTGCCTAAAGATAAAAAAGGTCGAGAGAAGTGTTCCGGCAGACAAGGCATGTAAGGAAATGCGATATACAAGGACATCTTTTTAATTATGGTGTCAAAACCTTCAGGGTGTATGCCATACGAAGGATAACTTTACCACGAATAGACAACAACAGTAATCCTGCAGCTAACACTCGAAACTTGTGAGGCTGGTGACCGATTATGTTGTAGCATTTTCATCTGTTAAAGATAACTCCTAATGCGTTGCTGGCAGCAGTTTCAGGCTGTTTATCCGTTTATATGTAGTATTTCGTCAAATGTATTTCAACGTACGCTCAACAAGCGCTTTTCCTGGAATGATTGCACGAGGTGCAACACCCTTTGAAGGCATTTTTTCTCTTGGAATATGTTCTTTTGGAAGCCCTCAGGTCCGGGAGGGTTCTTTGTAGACTAGTTATTGTCGTATGTTATTGCGCGAGCACTGCTATCGCTGCGACACCCTTGTGCAGAGCGAGCCAATGTTACACCGGAGGAGCTATACCTACGATTTGTCTGGCATGCGACCGGTACGTATTTATATATTCGCACAAAGGAAAATAATTATCCTATAGCGCAACATGGCGCAACCATGCAACCTTAGCACTTAGCATATCATACGTATCCTTCGACATGTTCGGTCGCCTGTTTTGTTTCTTCTGTAGAAGCGGAGCCGAAACGTTATGGGTGAAATCGTCTCCTTTGTTCCCGCCGCGCAAGACTGCTTCATTTGTTTAATTGCCTTTAATTTAGTGCCGATGCCAGCCGTGCCCGTCGGATGGAATCTCGTTTCCCAGTCTCTGGGGCCCAGTTCTAGACCAATGCTCCCCGCGCCATGGACCCGGGACCTCAGCTGTGCCAGGGTCGCTGGAACACCAGTGGCGCATTACGGGGCAGCCCGCGCTGCGAGCGATCCGATCAATGACCGATCGACGCGGCCGCATCGTTTCCGGCAATACCTGTATAATTTCTGATCAGTAACATAACAACGTTGCATCGAGTGGTTTGCTAGAATCATAAAGGGGCATCATGTGTCCCCCGGGGCTTTCGGGTTACGTAATTCATAATTGCACTCACAGCCTGGCCCATGGCGAGTTTCAACGAGGAGTAGACGGTAAGGAAAAGTGCTATGTCTTCTACACCATTCAGATCATTTGCTGAAATATAAATCGTGGCGTAATGAGCATTCGATTGTTATCAAGATGGAGTCACATTTTAAGCAGACTTGCAGACAGACTTAACGTGTAGATTACCCGCGACTGGTCCATCGCATCCTCGCCGCTCAGAGGATTTCATATAAACGTACGATGCTCTTGTGAAATGAGAGTAGATCGGAGTTTCCGCCAGGTGTTGTTTGCCTTGGATGTAACCTTGTTATCCGTCCTGGAACTGTATTCTGTAGGTTCTCTCACGCGCTTGGCATACGCCCGCCCAAAATGGGTATTTATTGGGAACCATTGAGTAGCGTTAATCGTATCGACAGCGATCGCCCCAGCGTTAGGCGCCTGGTGGCGCGCACAGTGACGGTGCGAGGCGGCGCGGCGCGGCGCGGCCCGACAGCACAGCGGGCGACCACAACACCCAGAGACGACTAGAGACGTCGGTCCTTGTGGGCCGCGCGGCCCGTCCGTCCACCCACTCTCTGCGCGCTCCGCCAGTAGCAAAAATAGAGCCCGCGTCCCGCCTACAGCGCGCACAGCTCTATCGCCAACATCATATAATTTCTCAGCTCTCGTCATCTCTCATTGGCGGGAACCCGTACTGGGGAGTGTCTGCGCGGCGCACACTCGCCCGTCCGCAGCCACTCTCCACACACACACACATACACATACACACACGCGCGCGCGGTGTGACTATGTACAGCGCAGCGGGCCCGACACTCGTGCGGCCGACAGCTGCATAGAACAGTAACGAAGCTAGCCAGCCGGCACGCGCACGAGCCATATCGGTAACAACAAGCAAATACAGGACATATCACAATGTGGGGCGGTTGGCGCGCAGTGTGTCGCCGTACTCTGCCCTCCGACAGCACACCCTGATTTGGCGGCGAGCGGCGCCGCGCGCTTTGTACTGGTCTGTGCGCGGCGCGCCGGCGGCGCCGACCGCTCACACCATCGACACGTTGGGACCCAGGTCGGGCGCGCCCTGGTGCGACGTCACTACACGACAGTAGGGGTCGCGCGCGGTGGCCACGGTGGGCAGTTTTTTCGGCGACAGCACCGGCTCGGCGGCGGCCAGGCTCTCGGCCGTGGCGGCGCCGGCGGCCAGCTCATGCAGCTCCATCTGCGGGTGCATCTTGTCGTGCTGCACGTAGCCGGAGCTCACCTCGGGCGCGCCGTCCGCCAGGCGCGCGCTGGCCCAGGCGGGCGGCGCGCCGGCAGTGCCCGTCGGTACCGACATGCTGGCAGCGGCGGCGGCGGCGGCGGCGGCGTGCGCCGGACTGCAGCCGCCCACCGCCGGCGGCGCCTCGCCCGGCGGCGGCCCGGCCAGCACGTACGGCGGGAAGCCGGTCACTGAGGACGGCTGCGGCGGCGGGCCCAGTGCCACGTACGCATTCCGCTCGGCCGACTTGTCGGCGGCGGCTGGGCACGGTTTGGCGCAGCCGGCGGCCGGCGGCGGGCTGCCGAGCCGCGCCGCCGCCGGCAGGCCGTCCTCGGGGGGCATGCTGACGTAGCCGGTACTGGAGCGGTGGCCGATCTGCGAGTAGGGCGGCGGCGGGCCGGCGGCCGCGCCGCTCAGGTCCGGCTCGGAGCGCGACAAGTCGCCGCTCGGCTCGCCGGCCGGCAGCGACTCCATGCTCCTGCCGCGCGCCACCAGCGCCTGGATAGCCTTGGCGTCCACGTACGGCGAGAACTTGGTGTAGGGTGGCGCCGAGCCAGCCGCGGCCGCAGCGCCCGGCAGCTCCGGCCCGGCCGCCTGCACGTACGGCGCCAGCTGCGGCTTGGGCGGAGCCGCCGGCACCGGCCAGCGGAACTTGCTGTAGGTCGGTGACGAGGCCACCTGACGAACAAACAACGCCGTCAGGTCAAGGACAATTCTACAGAGATATACCAGTGGTAAAGCTGCAACCAACAGAACTAAAACACCTGCCAGCGAGCATTTGATGACATATTACCTCTAACTTCTACCACGCCCACGACAGCCATGCATTGCCGACATCACCATTCCTCCGATTCCCTATCCTTCTGACCCCCGTTCCGTCCGTACCTTGTCACACTCTGCGCCCGAGTCAGTGTAGTTGGTGGCGCTCGACGAGCAGCTGTTGCTGTCCGTGTTGACGGCCGGGGTGAGTTCACTGCCCTCGCCGTCACACTCCTCGCGAGTCAGGTCCTCCTGCAGCAGCTGGAACGGTCGCACCGGGTCAGTCACACAACAGACACAGACACTAAGGATACACGGGTACATGGGAACCGGAAACATGGGTACAATTAGAACAGGATAGACAGAAACAGAACCACAGGGGACAGTTATGTTGGTATATAATCCAGCCACACAGCTACTAAAAACTCAATAATATTCTGACCAGCATTACGATAATTTCGCCGCCTCCGTGCCCCAATGTCAGCACCTCCACGCACTCGTTCCACACTGTCCCATCCCGTCAGGCTCTATCTCTAACCCTCCCATCCTGTCAGGCTCTACCACTCCGTATCCCGCCACTCACCGGCTGTCCGGAGACGGAGGCGGCCGTCCTGTCCGTGGTGCCACTGCTCTGGCTCACTAGCCGGCCGTAGCCGCTGTCCGGGCCGCCCGGGAAGCCGTGCGCCTTCTCCGGCCGGTCCAACCCAGCCGGCATGTTCACACCCAGGTTCCGCATCTCACTCAGCTTCCGCTTGGTGCGGTGGCACAGCAGGAAGAAGAGCAGCACAACGAACATCATGAGCAGCGCCCCGCCCACCACCACGCCGACAATGGTGGCTGTGGGCCAGTCGGAGACGAGCACGCACTGCTGCTCCGTCAGCGGCGACCAGGGGCCGTCCAGTCGGCCGGCAGGCGACACCGTCACCGACGCCCGGATGGCGAACAGGTGGCGCTGACTGGAGCCGGGCTCGCACTCGGGCACGGCCAGCTCGGCCACCAGACGACCGCCTGCGGGGAGAATGGCTCGGTAAAATTAATTCATAAACAACTTTAAAAAAAAATCATCATTAGAAAGGACTTCATGGAGATTGTCAAAATTTTCAGATTAATGAAACAGATTGAAAAGACACTGTATACTCGGGGAACAGCCGGCTGCTATAGCAGATAAACTTCCCTTCAGTCGTAACAACCGTACAATTCAGGCATAAGTCGCTAAATCCCTCAGTTCAAAACTGAACATAAAAAAGCAGACACCCTCCATCGGTCGGGGATGGCACTGACCGTCTGTGGCCGAGTAGAGCAGCGTCTGGTCGGTGGTCGTGTTCACCCCGCGCCGCTCTGACACAGTGCGCAGTGTGTAGACGGGCCGCGGGCCTCCGGGCACGGTGGGCGGCCGCCAGCTGACGCGCACCGCCGACGCGTTCAGCAGCTGGGTGCGCGGCGGCTCCATGTGGCCCGGCCGGCCGGCCAGCGTGCGGCCCGTCACGGCTGCCGACCACGCCGAGCAGTCGGCCTTATTGCAGACAGACAGTCGGAACTTGTAGTTGCGGTACGGCTGGAGGCCGACCACCGTGTGCGCCTTGGTGCTGGCCGGCAGGGAGACGGTGTCGCCGCCGGCCGGCTCGATCTGCTTCAGCTGGTACTGGGTGAGCTGGCCGTTGGGCCGGGCCGGGGCCGCCCACGAT